ATCATGAATATGAACCCGTTGCTGCAAACAACCCAAAAAACAACGGAACAAGTCCGGAAATTTTATGCTGAAGAAGGCTCGTGAGAAATGGTCAAAACGTTTTATTCGTCTATCACACAATAGACCCCTACATTGCGTTGTGCATAATAAAACTTCAAGATGAGGATAAATCCTTTATTTCTAAGGCGACGCCCTGCCATCCACATACCAGCTTCAAAACGATGGCGCAGATGTTGAATACAGCCTTTAATAAGGTTGCATTAGCCTAACTGAAAAATCAGCGGTGCTTGCAAAAACTCACTCTGGTCGAAAGGACTAATATGTGTTGCACAGATGACTTCTGTTAGCATTTACGACTAACGTACCTCTGATTAACAGCTTTGACCGATCGCTTTCTGTCAAATACAGTGACTAATGATTAAGGAAACGTCTTGAGTAGAAGGAAAGTTATGGAATTTAAGAACGATTTATTCTGACGTTTGTCAGTGCCTAAATATGTTCGTCAATTCCTTTGTTCAGCGTGGGATTCTTCCGTGAATTTCTTCTAGACCTTGAGAAGATCAAAGCAACGTCCGCAAATCAAGTAGTGCGCATTTACCTTGAACCTCTGATTATCCCAAAGAAGAGTCTTTAAAACCTCTTGCAGGTATAATGTGAATAACTTCGGTCATATTGTATTACCATGACGGATGCCGTTTTTGATTTGGAAACTGTATGTACCTCCGTTAAATTCTGCACCAGTAGATGCTCATTGTAAATCATGTCGACGGGATCTCCATTTTTTGCCGATTCCCCAGCTACTCAAAGAATCCAATACAGGCCGAATGTAGCCTCTAGAAATCAATCCCAGGAGGAGAGGACACAAATATTGCTGCTCGTATGAATTAATTTTTTCTGTACCACCTTCAGATACTTTATATTCGAAATATGAGACTCTCAATTTCAAATTTGTCTGAACCGTCTGCCAATCGAAACGGAAACAAGTACATGAAATACTAAAGCAAAAAGAAAACATAAATCAGTATAGCAAATGCTTATGAATTACCAACGAAAACGTGAGGACTTCAGTGAAGCCGATGCTGGCGATTTCCACTCTAACCAGGTCAGTAAATTTGTTTATCGGAAGTTGATGAGCATTGGTGGCGATCATTGGTATTCGCATGGGAATGTTGTTGTAACCATAAGAAATTGCTACATCCTCGACGATGTCACAGGCATGTAAAATGTCATGCCGAGTCGGCGGTACGGAAACGGTCAGAACGTCGTCGGTAGCGGTCGACTGTAGCCCCATGCGCTGCAGCAAATTTACGATCTTGTCGCTGGTCAAACTAACAAAAAATTCATCTAATTCATAAATGTGAACAAGAACTAAGAAACGGTATGTACCTGATTCCAACTTGACTGTTGATGTATTTTACGGATGTTACTAAATCCCAATACTTCAGTTCCTAAACAGCAAATATGCATATAAAACATCTGCTTTATCATCCGATCACTATATCATCGTGCTTGAGGAACACGCCAGTATTCTTCGAATGGCAAAATGCTGAATTTATGGTTTTGCCTCCATTCACTTTACAATAAAGCCATAGCAAAACCAATACGAAAACCTAAATAGTTTTGCTACGGCAGTACTTTTCCCCGATGCTATGGAAACAATCACACGGTTAGACAACGGTTACTTCATTTTACCAATAATTCAGATCAGATTTATTCAGAACCCTTACATGATTAAAGATGAAGCAAAATAAAGTAAATATTGAATATATATATTTAGTTCAGTACAAGATCGTAATACAGTGGTTTCACAAGATTATTGCTAAGTCTATCCTCATAACTAAGCCACAGTGTTGCTGCGTGCATGTTTATGTCTACCTATGATTTACAGCGTAATGTGGTAGAAACCGCACGTAACCACTCAAGGCTAAAAAATTAATTTCAGGCTATGCCGGTAAGAAAGGTTATATATAGTTTTTTATTTTGCCCATAAAAAATTCAATTCAAAATTCGAAAAATCTTGCTAGACGATGACGTCGCATAATGAATTTATTAGATACATATTCTCCAACCTTTCGAATCATGATCGATCCTTTCGAAAAATAATGTAAAACAGACAATGTTACAGTATAATATTCCCGTAACATAACGTAACTGTAAAGTTGTACCGCAAACCATTACAGGTTCAAGTAGCAGCTTCATTATGATGAGGTTTTAGCCTTCACAGTGACATCTGCTTCACAGTTTCGCTGTAATGCTAGCTTGATTCGATATACAGTGTCGCTCTTAAATTGCATGTTCACTGAATTCATTTCGCCTTCCTTCTTCACCACCTGCTGAAATTTCTTTTGCTCTCGCCCGTCCTTTTCTGTGCTTACTTATTCTGACGTAGATCAGCGCATCC